TTAACATGAAGCTCATTATGTCCATAAAAAAAGAAAAGAAAAGAAAAAAAAGAATAGCAACCTTTTGTTTCCATTACTTCAAACACTTAAAACACATGTTCTGAAGTTGTGTTCCAATGTATGAAGTCACCCTCATTTTGTAACCATAGACGAAGTGGATCATGTAATGTGTCATTCTTCATTATATCATAAATTGATTCATGGTCTGGAAAACTATCCAAATCTTGATGATCAACATATTTAGGAAGCCCTATGAGTTTGCCAATATCAACATGCTCCAAGTTGTGTGCATTTATCACACTGAATTTCTCCATCATCAACATTTTCGTCCGTGTATAATCATCCGTCATAGCCTTGAACTTCTTTATCTTTCATGACGAGCTACAAGGTTGGCTCAAAATTTGTATCGCGTATTTTTTCAAGGCTGGTAGATGGTCACCACAATAATCCCACCATAAACCTACATATAGTAACTCATGTAACATTAAATATAAAAAATTAGCTTTACAACAATGTGCATAATTAAATAAAAGTAATGAAACTTACGCGGATGTGATGTTTTCAGCATCTTCAATGCTGTAGTTGTGAAAACATCAGGTGCTTTCATGCGATACAGTTGTATTTGTTCTACAAAAGCTTCTCTTTCATTGGCAACAACCAAATTATTCTCAATAAAATTTATTCCTTCTTTCATTTCAAGATCCTTTACAAAGTTCTCATGGCACATGTTGTGGGGATTTTAAAAAGCCGTAGCTGCATGTATTGGATGAATTATATCATTCATTATTCTTTCCTCAAATAATTTCAAAATTTGCTTGTATATGGCATGATCTTTACCACAACATTGTTGAATTACAATGCTTGCTTTTTTCATTGCTTCATATAAATAACCTGAAGTAGGAACATAACCATGAACTAAACGAAGAACTTGAAATAAGGCATCGACAATGTAACACCTCTTTTCCTAATGTCCAAAATGTTGTGCCCTTAATGACATTGGTAACCCACTTTGCCAACCCTTGCATCTTAAAATCCAAACTTTTCCAATCTAAAGATGCATCAAGTAATTGTGAGGCCCTCAATTCAGTTTCAAACTCTAAGATTGAGAGAAGTAACAAAAAGTTTGAGTCAAATCTAGCTAAATAGGGATGTTCAAACTTTTTGTATCTTGTGTGTTTTCTTATTTCTCTTGATAGATTGATATCACGCTTCAGTAAATATGATATAATCATTTTTCCTACCATGGTAGTACTCTGCACCCAATCAACTTTTGAATATATATCCATTAATAGCGATTGAATCCCATGAATTGCACATCTAGTTATGTACATCGAAGGACACTCTAAAAGCATGTACTTGGTTAACTCAAAACCTTCATCATTGTCAACGATAAGTTGTAGAACCTGGTTGACCCTGATTTCATCAATTGTAGAACACAACATCCTTAAGATGCATCCCAGTCATTTCGTCCATTAAGGTTACAGATGACTTTAAAAACACTACCCCTCTTGGGCAATATGCAAAAACATTCACACAAGAATGTTAATCATCATTCTCTATATCAACCATCAATGCACAACTTGCAATCATCCAACACTGCTTAACATTTTCAATGTACGTCGAAATTTCCCTCTTATAATCCAAGTCTAACTTAGTAAGAAGAAATAAGTTTGGTAGTTCATAATCGGGACCAAATCGACCAATTTCTTTCATGAAGTCGATGAAAGATTGTGATTCAATAACATCCTCCGAAATGTTATTTAAAAGGGAGAATTTAATGAACTTTTGGTCAACTGCATTCTTATCATTCATGCATGTTGTCGAAGTTGAATTAATTCCACTGCCATCATCATTAATTGAAATGGAATTGCTCTTACCTTTCTTGTGAGAAGAGCCAACATTACCAGGCACTTCTAAACAAATTTCAATGTCACGACCTTTTTCTCCAAAGAAATGTGATTTGATTCTTGATATCCTTCCTGCAAATTCTTTTGAACACGGATCCCTTCTTTTGATCTCTCTGTCCCAAATCACTCACAACTGTTGGATCATTTGAGAATCTCAAGATGCGCAAATCTCGCAACATATCCAATGGTTGTGAGTAATTCAGGACATGGGGATAGAAAATTTTGGGAACAGGAAATACTTGGGCAATTCTTTTTGACAAAAGTTACACTGAAAACGACCTTTTAAATCCTCCGCATACTCCCAAAACCGATCTCTTTTCTTAGTCATAGTTCGTTTTATCCTACATGTAATAAAACAATTGAATCATTTCAAGTCATAAAAAACAAAAATAAAAAAAAAGCATAAGTAAACAAATGAAAATCACCAACAGAACATATGATTCACAATTTGGCCGACATAATATAACTATTTGTTGCAAAATTATCATAATTTTTCCCACAAATACTTTAGAAGGTCAAATATTATTATGTAATAATTTTGGCCATGTTGTTTGATTTCAATTCCCCCAACATTTCTTGTGGCAAATGAAGTGATTTTACAGCCTATTAGTTGTATTCTTAATCTTTTCTTGTTTCCAATGTTTACACAATGAATTAATTATACAAATATTCCTAAACTATTGTCAAGTATCGCTCTAACTTTTTAAACTAAAAAAAAAAGAGAAGAAAGTAGAGTGTCGCTATTAGCACCCCATTAATTATTTTGAAACTCCCATTTTTTAACTTTTTTTTTTATTACAATAATAACCTCAAGTGAAATTACTAAAAAGGGCATCAATAATTTGAAATACTCTATCTCACAATTAAATCCACATACTCACTACATCATGAGTTAGAATTTATGAGAGCACACACCTCCATCACTACACATCCATCTTCTCTAAATCTCACCTTCAAAATTTATCCACCTTCAAAACCTTGAAACCCCTTTGGCGGCAATATTTCGATGGCAACAATGGTAACTATTTGATTACATACACTTCTTCAGCAATCACAATGAGTGAATTTTTCCAGCAACCACAATTTCATGAGGCGAGAGGAGTACAACAATAAAAGCTTAGAAAATGTTCATAGCTTTGATGGTATTCTTAACTCAGAGTAGATTGGCCTTGTAAGAGCAAGTTTTTTGGAGAAAAAAATGACAAAAATAATAAAAATTGTTCGTCATTTTTTCAGGACTGAACTTTCAAATATATAACTGAAATTCAGAAACACAGGCCCGAACATTGTTTATTTGTTCAGGAATAGGCAACGAACATTTCTTATTTGCACCACAAAAATTCAACTTTTTAGAGACAAATTTATTCCATCTCTAAAAGTGTAATATTTGTCGAAAAAAACTTTAGCCAACTATTTTTTTTTTTTTTTTGGGTCACAAAGTTTGTCCCAAAGGGTGCATCCGAAAAAGTCAAAAATTGACTTTTAAAGACAAAATTTTGCTTTTGTCACTATCAATAGACTTTTAGAGACGAAAATATGTGATTGCAAAAAGTTAATGTTTTGAGACAACCAAAATTTATCTCTAAATGTCTATTAGAACTCAACGGGAGAACAATTAGTTTTTGAGACAATAAAAGTTAGTCTCTAAAAGTTTTAATTTTTGAGACAATCAAAAGTGGTCTCTAAAAGTTTTACCTTTCTAAAAGTGGTAGTTATAATTTTTTTGAGACAACTAAAATTGGTCTGTAAAAGTTTTATTTTGCAACTTTTGTAATAAAATTGTTTCTCTTAGAAAAAATTGTAAAAAAAAATTTTTTTGATCAGCAAAACACGAAGCTATATTGAAAGAAAGTAGAGTGTTGTTATTAGCACCCCATTAATTATTTTGAAACTCCTATTTTTTAACTTTTTTTTATTACAATAATAACCTCAAGTGAAATTACTAAAAAAGGCATCAATAATTTGAAATATTCTATCTCACAATTAAGTCCACATACTCACTACATCATGAGTTAGAATTTATGAGAACACACACCTCCATCACTACCCATCCATCTTCTCTAAATCTCACCTTCAAAACTTATCCACCTTCAAAACCTTGAAACCCATTTGGCGGCAATATTTCGATGGCAACAATGGTAACTATTTGATTACATACACTTCTTCAGCAATCACAATGAGTAAATTTTTCCAGCAACCACAATTCCATGAGGCGAGAGGAGTACAACAATAAAAGCTTAGAAAATGTTCATAGCTTTGATGGTATTCTTAACTCATAGTAGATTGGCCTTGTAAGAGCAAGTTTTTTGGAGAAAAAAATGACAAAAATAATAAAAATTGTTCGTCATTTTTTCAGGACTGAACTCTCAAATATATAACTGAAATTCGAAAACACAGACCCGAACATTGTTTATTTGTTCAGGAATAGGCAACGAACATTTCTTATTTGCACCACAAAAAATCAACTTGTTAGAAACAAATTTATTCCATCTCTAAAAGTGTAGTATTTGTCGGAAAAAACTTTAGCCAACTAATTTTTTTTTTTTTTTTGGGTCGCAAAGTTTGTCCCAAATGGTGCATCCGAAAAAGTCAAAAATTGACTTTTAAAGACAAAATTTTGCTTTTGTTACTATCAATAGACTTTTAGAGACGAAAATATGTGATTGCAAAAAGTTTATGTTTTGAGACAACCAAAATTTGTCTCTAAATGTCTATTAGAACTCAACGGGAAAACAATTAGTTTTTGAGACAATAAAAGTTGCGTCTAAAAGTTTTAGTTTTCCAAATAACTAAAAGTGGTAGTTATAATTTTTTTGAGACAACTAAAATTAGTCTCTAAAAATTTGATAATATATATATATATATATATATCTTGCCTTTTAATTTTGTAACATTAGTCATATATAGCTTTTGCATCAATAATAACATTATTTGTCTTAGAAAAAATTGTAAAAAAAGTTTTGACCAGCAAAACAAAAAGCTATATTGATTACAACAACAAAAAACATAAGATTCAAATGATATTTTCTATATTTCCCCTCCTATTTCTCAGCATGCAAACAAATATCAAAGAACCAAATGCCATAACTTTCGTTCATATATACTTATTTATTATCAGCAATTATTCTAATATATCATCACAAACATCCAAAAGAAAGCAATTTGACATTGACATTTCCAGCAAAAAATCAAATAATCAAAAGCATAAGAATAATACCATAATCAGCAATTTAAAGACAAGTCATTTCTTTTTCATCCTTTTGTTTTCTGTGACCGGGATAATGTTGAAGTATATCAAACTATGTCCGAAACCAACCTGATCTTGGTCTACCCAACTTGGCCTCCTTGTTTCCACCATTTGATTCATGGTTTTCATTATGGCTCTTGAAGCCCAGATCCAAATTTAAATGGTTTGTGTTTGAATGTTGAATCGGTTCTTGTTTGTTGCCTACAACACAAACCAGTTAAGCATATCAAGAATTAGTAATGATGAATAATCCAACATACACAAATCTTCAATTCAATAGCCAAATCCTCTCAAATTTTCTTATTTGCTGGATAGCAACTGACAAATGAAAAAGGAACCAAAGTGGGGTGGGTGTTGGGCGGAACCAAACATCAAACATGGTAATTTAACTAAACATCTCCCAACATAAGGAGTCGAGTGACGAAAACATATAATTATTATAAAAAACAAAAAAATCAGCCATTCCTCTCTATCTAGGCTCAAATTTCAGCAACAATGACAACCAAAGCTGACATCTCTAATTTCAATCAATAATAAGCATACTTGCAACCAACATATACTTTAGGGCGATTCACTTGAAAAGGAAATATGTGCATTAAATCTTCATTGGTTTTATATTCTTCTTATACCAACATGGCATTTTGAAGTTGCCCCAAAACACCTCACGTGTATATCTACAAACTAAATTGCAAAGGAAACTATTGTCTAAAACTTGGGATACATTCTGCTTTCTATTGAAATTGAAATGTCAGAATTCTGATTTCATTTTATTTTTGATAAGTATGAATGTAAGAATTCTTATTAAGAGGTATACTTCAAATGTACATACAAAACTCTACTTGGCTGATTTTTGATAAATAAATGCCTAAAGAAAAGCACGAATTACGAATGTTTGTATCCAAACCGTGTCATAACCAAAAAATTAAGGCTACATAGGTATATTCTGACCTTGGGTGCGATCCAGTAAGGACTTCCGTTAAATGATAATGGACATGATTGCTCAGCGATCCACAAATTTAAAGGATGCCATTATATTTTCTAGGAGGATGGATTTCAATAGGCGATCTCATGGTTTAATGCCAAGCATTGGTTGACACTTGCTATGAAATATCTAGCAACCAGAGATAATTTAATTCAAAGTATATGACAGGTTATAATAGTAAATGGCAAAGCATACTATGTCCATTTTTTTTTTTAAATCTCTGCTTGTGTAAACTCAATGAATGATAATAGTCACACACACACATATACAATTTAGCACTCAACTCAAACATGACTAATACTCAATTAGTTTGATTACATTTCACAAGTATATACATATTGCTGCCTAGACTTACATGCTTTGTCATTCCAAAATCAGCCAATTTGATACGGCCATTTGGGTCCACAAGGATATTTGCTCCTTTAATATCCCTTCACACAAGATATAGCATAAACAATAAGTTCAGAGATAGTGTTAGATCAAAAGACTTCTGGAAGTGACAAATAAAAATACACTTCTCTATAAGATGCAATATCAAATGTGTAGTACAACCTATCAACAAAACAATTTCCATAAATGCCCAAAATTACGGTCCACGGGAAACTATATCAGAAAATTTTTTAGTAGTTAGCATCACTTAATGAGTCTTCTGTTTCAGAACATCAAAATAACTTCTGGAAATGATGACAAATTCATCAAAATACGTGTTACAACAAAAAACAAAGCATTACCCATTTTTTAAATCAACAAAAGTAAGTGCAAGGGATAAAACTTACTGATTTAGACCTATAATACCGCACAATATTAGGATACCTTAACCGACTCAATAAAGCAGTTTCCTATCAGAAACACTCAACATAAGAACTTCTATCCGAAAATTAATAGAAATTAGACCAAAACAGGAAAAAAATAACTAATTTCTGATGAAAAACAAGAAGCCTTATCCTGCAGAGAACCTCAATTAAATTTATGACTATCAAACTTACTTGTCCCAGCTGCTTTGCACTTTCCTTTGACTTTACGTCATCCGAGAATAATGTAACCTCCTTCATTGCACACATTTCACCACCTTCCCTATAATGCTGAAGATAAGGCGAGATATAAAAGAACTCGATCAATGAACAAAATTTAAGAGAGAATGCATTAGAAAAAAGTATTCATGCAACTGTAATCAAACACATTTGATGGCAAGAACCACACCACATTATGGCAAGGTAATACAATCTCTTCCATCATCAATCTGTGACTGATCTACATCATCACCAATTTTGCCATCTCTTCTTTGGGGCATGGTCACTTTGGCTAATTACACAATTCACATTAATCAAGTTAATTGAGCTGCCACCAAAAACATCTAATACTGAAGATGCATCATCAGTGCTTAGCGACTTCATCCCAAATTGTGACGAGTAGTAGTCATATCATGCATGAATAAATTTTTTTTATTTATCCTTAAAGTTGTGGTGCAAAAACCAATATTTTGGGATCTGCTACAAATATTGTTAACCCAGTCTGCAAATAAGAAGCCAAGTAAGAGTCAAACCAACAAAAAGAAACTAGGCCAAGAGGAAGAGTAGGCCATTCCTTTTTTTCTCTCTTTCTCAATGCTTCAGCTACTAATGAAAACACTCTGATCTTATACAGGTGCATGCTTCAATACAAAAGCAAATGGGGATATGATAGGATAGGATAAAAATCTAATTATTTATGGCTTAAGAGTTAAAAATGAGTTGATTAGTCTTTTGACTCATTCAGGTAGGTAGATAGTTGATTCAATACAACTCAGGCATTGGATTCACTTGTTGGTTGATCTGGTGGCTGCTTATTATGCTCCCTGTTGCCCTCTTTTTCGGTTGCTCTGTTTGGACTAGTTGCATACCAAGTGCTCCATTTTATTTATTTATTTATTTTTGGTTAAATTACAAATACACTCCCTAAGAGAGGTCACCTGACCCAAAACCTATTAATTACAATAATATAAAATCTTATATCATTGTAATAGACATCAATCTCATAATTTCAATGACAATTATGGTCATCTCATGAAATTTAATCTAAACTAGTCATAGTACATCAAATTCGAACTATCACATCATTACATATAACGAACCTAACATTTCAGCCTCTCATTCTACATTTAGTTTTTCTTTCTAGAAATGAACTTGAGATTACAAATAATAATAATAATAATAATAACAATAATAATAATAATAATAACAACAACAACAACAACAACAACAACAACAACAACAATGCAGAGGAGCACACACTCGTGTGTGCTCACAGAGAGATAGAGACAGAACAATCAGAACTCAACTTGTAGTTCTATGGTGAAATTTCGCTCAAGCAATTAAAGCACGTCACAATAACATTTCAGAGAGAGAGAGAGAGGGACCTTTAATCATTCATGGAGATGAGAGAGAGAGAGTGAGAGAGAGAGGCCTCCAGGTCCTTGAGGATCTCCTAATGCAAGCGATCAAAATGGCACTTGGCAGAGTCCAAGAGCGAAGAGGCCAATTCCTTCAATTCCGAGATCGGACTTAGGGTTTTCTGGCGAAGAGATGTAGATGACGCTATAGCATTCTTGCTCTTGTTGCCATTGGTGTTGTTCCTCGAAGATAGAGTCAGTGTTGAAGAGACCGTTGTTGATACTACATAATCAACACAAACATTACACTGATAAACAAGCATTTTCGAAGACCAAACACAAACAACAAATCGAAAACCAAATCAATGAGCCTGAAATCGATTAATGATCAAACCTGGATACTGAAATAATTGTCATGAGAGACGATATGAGACTCCTCAGAAACGAAATCAACAAACCACCGATTAGAAGTGCAAATCAAGAGTCTCTGAGATCATATTAGGAATCGAAATCAATAAACCAAAGATTCTATGGAGAAGGAAATCAGGGATTCGATCAAGAGAGAGAGAGAGAGCCATTCTTTAACGAATGAATCCTGACTATTGAAGTTCAAAGAATGACTAATTTTTGAGTAGCTCTGACAGTCGGCTCCATTTATAGTGTTATAGTGATGTGATATTTTGATCTTTAGTTTGTTTTGTTTTATTTTTTTTATTCATTGTCATGTCGTTAATGCTCTATTAGAGCACCAAAATTAGTGATATGAATCATTGTTGAGAATGAAAATAATGTATGAGTTGAGTTTATTGGAACTAACTAAGGCCAAGTTTGGGAAGTTTGAGAAAAGCTAAAAAGTCAAAAAGTTATTCAAAAAGTTAATAAGTTAATACTATTCACCAAAAGTCAACAATTACGGCTGCACAACTCTCAATTCTAATTTTCCTCTACAAACCAATTTTTATAATTTTTTATTACACATTTTTCCATAAAAAGTCAAAAAGTTAACCTAAACATTCATATTTTTTCCATCAACTTTTTAGTCCAAAAATACAAAAAGTGCACTTATTTAGGACACCCCAAACAATCCCTAAAATTGCAAGCAAAATATCATTAACCCTTTTGAAACCAAATAAACTTGTCTAAAAAATGTAACAATATAATTAAATATATTTTTTTTTTTTTCATTTTTTCATTTTTTCACGACCCAAAGCTGTTCTTAGAGGTTTAGCATCGTAACCGGTCAGTAATCTGATATTACCATAGGCCCTCCTTTACAAATCAATATAATTGGGGCAAGTGAAAGCTTATAACATAAACGCAGCAAATAGTCCATTGAGCTGTGAATCTACATGAACAAACTCAGATGCATATCAGATGCATATAACATTAATTTACCCACTGTACAATACATACGTAATATCATGTACAAAACCTTCCATCATTATATATACGTGTTATCAAAACTTCCACAACAAAAGCACAAAACTCGCCAATGGTCTTTTAGACCTAACCTCAACTTGGAGGCACCAAAACGCCATAAGCTTCAGGTGGTGGCTTGACTAACGATGTTCATCTAGGCTTGACCTTCAAGACGCTCACCTATACATATATATACAAATAGTGAGCTATAACCTAGTGAATAACAATAAAGTAAAGCGGTTAGTGAACAAATTCGAAATACATCATATTCGTATAACAAATCACGTCACAATTATTCTCATATCGAAACATAATAGTGATACAGCCAATAGAACATATCATATTGTCTTCCGACTAAAGTAATCGATCCCGGATACCGATTAAACATATCACCACTTTGTCAAGTGGCTAACGAGATCTCGTATTCACTTATTTGTCATGGACCCACATTGACATGCTGCCCCCCATGACTTTGGACCATTCCTTGGATGCCATAATAGATTCAAAACCAGATATTCATTCACATTCATAAAATACCATTTTAGAAAAACATAACTTATCAAATAAGCATTTCAAATATATGTCATATCACTACAACAAAAAAAATATTTTTGGCGACGTTTTTTAGCAATCAAATTGAAATTAGTTGCCAATTTTATATAATCGGAGACAATACTTGTTGGTCGCCAACAAATACACTATTGGCGACGAGTTGAGACTTTTAGTCGCTAAAAGGTTTGGCACCAAGTTAAGTTTTTGCGCAGGAGCACCAAAAATGTTTTCGTGACCAAATTAATATATAGCGACGAAAATTCTAGTCGCCGATTGTAAATTTTTGGCGACAGAAATGAAATAGTGACGGAAAAAGTGAACGGTACTTATGGCGACCGAAGGATCTTAGTCACCAATAAATTAGCTGATGAAACTACGTGGTTTTGTATATTTTCCTTCTTTCTTTCTTTCTTTCTCTTTTTTTTTTTTTTTTTTTGAGACTTGACCGACCCTTTTGGTGAATAACAAATTAGACCTAACCAGTGTTCATCTCATTCTCTCTTAATCCACAGCCTCAAACGGCGCACAACAAACATAGAGGTATGTCTCCCTCTCTCTCTTCCTCTTGCTTTCTTGCGCCGCCGACTGAGTGCCACCGACGGTATTCACTTCTCCTGTGGAAGATCTAGAGACTGGCTCTTTTGAAACAGAAAAGTTGCCAGTTGATTTGTCAAATCAGGAGGTCTGCATCAAGCCACTTTCTTTTTCATTATATCTTTTCTTTTTTATGTTTATTTTTAACTTCATAATTTTTTTTGGCTATTAGGACTTTTTTATACTCTTCTTTTCCTTTATTTTTTTGTTGATCTAGAAGTGCTTCTAGTTCGCTATTTTCTGTCATGCTGTGTCTGTGCCAATTTGTGAGCACTTCCAATTCGATATTTTTATGCTTTGGTGTTGGCATCACTAAAGTAACTATTTTTATAAAGTATGTTAGGTTTTTATTCTTGGCAATCCCGTTTGACAAAACTCCTTTCAGTTGTAATTTTATTCGCACTTTTATTTCAGTGAGGTTATGAGTTTTCAGATGTGAATCCAACCCGAATTGTACCTTTGTAGAGAAGTTTGTGCTGAATCCGATCCAGTTTGCCACTTCGCTTTGCACTCAAAGTTGTTTGGTCCGCTCGAGCGGACAAAGCTGCTCGAGCGGAGATGTTGCACTCCTAGAAGTTTCGCTCGTCTGAAATTTTACTAGAATGATTGATTTTCCGCTCGAGCGGCAAGTCTCTCGCTCGAGCGTCGATTTGTGTTCAGAAACACGCGTTTTTAGTTGGTCCGCTTAAGCGGCCATTTCGGTGCTCGAGCGGAGTTCGCGGCCCAGGTTTTCTATAAATTGACAGGTTGATCATATTTTAGCGTACGACCTCCAGATCTTCTTTTTGGATTTTAGGATTTTCTTGAGGAGGTACTTTGCTAGTTTCTTTGATGGTTATATGAGTAGATCTCATGGTTTAATTTGTCCACATCAAAGGGTTGTTTATTTATCTTTTCAATACAAAAACAGAGTATAGTTCTTCGGCGGATTCCGGTGGATTTGGGTTTGAAGCTTTGGTAGATTCTGGAGTGCCTCATCGTCGTAGATTCGACATCGGCGTTGTGGATTCAACGTTGGGCAAGACAATTCTGAGGTGAAGACGGGGCAGGAAAAGGCACGGGTTGGTTCGATTCGGGCGTGGATTCGCTAAGTAATTGAGAGTATACTTGTGTAATTCCTTTATGTCTTCTTAGTGGATTGTTTTGTGGCTTTTTCCCGTGATTTTTTAATCACAATTGAAGGCTCTCCAATTGTGATGTTTTCATGTAAAATCGTTGTGTCGATTTGCCTTGATTGTTTGATTGAGATTACTATTTAATACTTAAAATTGAACCATAATCACGAATCAATATATTTGGAGTTTACTTATATTTTTTAAAGTAAAATCTGGATATGGAAATAGTTAGATAACCTTGTTTGGTTTGTATTTGAGAAACATGTTTTGAGATAAAAAGTACGAAAATTTGTTTGGTTTGTCTTTTTTTTTTAAAATTATTTTGAAAATTTGTTTTGAGAGAGAGTTTTGAAAAAAGTGATTGATTTGATGTGTATGAAAGAGGGAGTGACTTGGGAAAATTGTTAACCAAACAAGTTTTTGAAAAAAAATTTAGAAAAATTTGTTTGGTTTAACTATTCTTAAAAACTTGTTTGTAAAAATTTTTTCTCAAAATTTTTTCTCAAATACAAACCAAACCTATATGTTTTGGATCTCAGTTTAGGTGTATACTTTTAATAGGATTTCTAAATATTAGGAGGCACACACTACAAGAAATCAGCTTTTTAGGGACAAATTTATTTCGTTCCTAAAAGTGTAATATTTGTTGGGAAAAACTTTAGCCAACAAATTTCCTCCGCACGAAGTTTGTCCCAAATGGCCCGTCCGGAAAAGTCAAAAAATGACTTTTAGAGACAAAATTTTGCATTTGTCACTATAAATAGACTTTTAGAGACAAAAATAGGTAGTTGCAAAAAGTTTTGATTTTGAGACAACCAAAATTTGTCTCTAAAAGTCTATTTATAGTCCAAGGCAACGGTGGTAGTTATGGAGACAAAGAAACTAATTTTTAGGTGGTTGCAAAAAGTTTTAATTTTTTGGAACAAATGGTAGTGGTCCGTAAAAGTTTTAGTTTTTTAGGACAAAGGGAAATGGTGGTTAAAAGTTTTAATTTTTGGGACAAATAAAAGTAGCGGCTAAAAGCTTATTAAATATTTTTTGAGACAACTAAAATTGGTCTCTAAAAGTTTGATAATTTTTTTTTTTTTTTTTTTTTGAGACAACTAAAATTGGTCTCTAAAAGTTTGATTTTTTTTTTTTTTTTTGATTTTTTAACAATTATTCTAAAAATACTAATTTGAACATCAACTTATATTCCTTTCTTGATTTCTCAACAACCAAACAGAAAATATATATCACCAAACCATCCACTCATCTCCAAATTAAAATTCAACTACACAAAAAAAAAAAAAAATGCTCATCGCATTCAATAACAAACAAATACCATGCTCTAATTCATTAGTACGTAATATCTTGATTGTATATATGACAGAGATTTCAAAAGTATCATTTCCAATTTATAAGGCTAGTGTTATAAGCATTGTTTATAGCATTCAACTGTTCGATGAACAGATTGTTATTAGAATTATATCTACCTACATAACAAAACAACTCAACTCAACTCAACTCATCACATCTTCTTCTCAATGGTTTCGTTAAAATGGCATTCAAAATCTAGCAGAGAGCTCCCAAGCTTTAAATCGACGCAAGCCTGCAGGACCTGCATAGAATAGGCCAAACTCTCAAATAGATTACCAATTAAAAATTATCCAATAATAGATTAATTTAATAAATTACAATTTAATGTGCCGATTGTAGTATCTGAAGTTCAATTACAAACATTACTCCAGTGAAAACAATTCCTTGTAGAACAGTAAGTAAAAGGAATAACTCCTATGAAAAGTGTAATTATGCAAATATATATATATAGACAAAAAGGAAAATATTGTTCTAAATCGCCTGCCACACTCCCACGTGAGATACATGTGGGCCTCACACAAATGCACCCCACTGTTTGTCTCTCATGTGATACGTTCTTCAAAAAAATTCTGTCTACTTATAAAAATTCTAAAGAGTAATGCAAGAGACCTCTAAAAACTAGTCCCCTAAGGTGGTATAAATCAGGTCCACAGCTGGTATACATGCAGCAAGTTGTGATGAGTTCAAATCTAATCCTCAGAAATTGTCTTCGCCCACTCATTATTATGTAATCCATTTCCTTCAGAGAAAAAGAGTTCAAAACTAGTCCTCCCCCTTGCTCATAAATTAATGTAATCTTATCTTATAAAATCACTCTAGAAAGTTAATACTCACAATTTTCTAGAAAAGTGAACGTATAGTCCTTTCCTCTTATTTTCTACAAAAGATCAAAAACCCAGTTCAGATTTAACACAAACAATCAAAAGGGACCCAGATCAGGTGCTGCTGCCTTGAAGAAAACAATTCAGAAGATACTAAAAGCACAGTGATGTATAACCTGTACTAGCATATACATGTAATCCAATCATATCAATATCCTAAGATTCATCAGATTTATTGAATGAAACAAATATCAATTACTCAAACATTCTGAAAAGATGACTTACTAAGAAGAAGAATCAGTAGAGGGTACTCTTCGACTGATCTGCTGCATCAAGAAGTCGACTTTGGCATTGTATTCCGTGCGATCAGACTCCAAGATTTGAATTCTTCCCACTAGCTCCTTATTGATTCTTCGTTGCTCTTCAGCCTCCCTTGTAGCAGCCTCATTATCCCTCTCGAGTTGGGCACGGGTAAGTTTTCCAGATAATGTTGTAGTTAGTTTTCGACCACGCCCTAAGCCGCGTATGTAGCCAACTTTTTGTCCAAATACCTCAATAGAAAGTTGCTCATCAGATATCGGGCAAGATCCTTCTTCAATAGCTTTCTCTTGCCGCTTTTCAAGCTTGTACTACAATATTCATTAGTTGAGATAAAATTAAGTATCCATCCACATTTTATTAAGGATATAAGGAATGAAAGTACATAAAGATTGATGTCTTACATGTCTAATCTCAGCATCAGCATGCACCCATGCCTCTTTTTTCTCACTAAAATGCGTCTTTTTGTACAACTCAACAAGTCCAAGTTCCTCTCCAGTGGCACGGTCTCGCTGTGCCATTTATAGCACACATTAAACCTCAATATAGATTACGTTGTTCAATTACAATTACAAAACATAAATTATAGATTCTATAATTAATACCTCATCATATTGCACTTTTCTGAAGGCCTTTGAGCCAGCAGTGTGGAGGACTTTCAACTTCTCCCGATTTAACTTATTCTTGCCACATCTCACCTATTATTAAATGCATAAGTCAGAATACAAAGTGTTTCTTTTATTATTAAACATTTCTCATCTACAAGAAATATAGAATTGGAGATAGCAGGTTGAAATGGGTTAGTAAATTGTAGAAATGGGTCAGTTTTATGGATCAATTTTCTCCAGTGCTCTGTTATGCCATATTCTCGTTTAAGTCTAAGATGATCATGCTTATCTCCCGATTTCAAGTGAAAATGAATAAAAAAATACAAAGTAAAGACTTGGCTATTATATGACAACGATATAATAATGAGTAAATCATCTAGATATTGTTCATCATTGTCCTTTTCTTCTTCTTCCTCTTTCTCACCACCAGTCATGTGGAATGAAAGCATAAAATCAAACAGATGCAGGTAGACGGGATCATCTCCAGTGCTCTATTACGCTATATTCCCATTTAAGGCTATGAATAAAAAAAAATACAAAAATCTAATTCTCTCTCTCACAAGTTAAAAATCAACAATCAAACTTTTGCATGCCAATCATAATAAATCATATAGTCACAAAAATAAAATATGCATATTTTCTTAATGCGTAAAGTAGTCTTTCAGAAATTCCTTGTTTAAAGATTCAACAAATTCACAAGCATTCTGCAAGTTAATGTGTATTTTACATCAAACTCGGCATTTAACTTCTAATAGGAACACAATTACTGTTCATACCATAGCATATTATGACACGGAGCTTAGGGCACTTCATATTTAAACCATCATGTTTGACAAAAAATGAGACAAGATTGACAACGTTACCTTATAGTCCTTGTCAGACCACTTTTCGCACAAAAACTTCCACGTCTCTTTTTCCATGTTTTCGGGTGGATCCGCAAGGGCAGATTCCATTGTAGGGAACCTTCTAAAGCGTTGTCGTAGGTCATGGCGATAGCTCTTATACCGGTCGTGCATCAAATTGAGGATAGATTCGATAGCATAGGGTTCATTGGTAAACTTAAAACCTTCCTGTCATACCAAACAAGAAAAAATTAAAGCACATTAAAATCTTCCCTCAAAGTTGTTTATGGTGCGTGTTAATTATTGTGCCAGAAACAAATAAATGGTACAAATAGTGCTATCAAAATGCTTGATGAAATAATGTGGGAAGAGGAAATTTACTGGGAAAATAATTATCCAGAAAATAATTTGCAAAGAGGAAATCTAAATCTCAGCAATTGTACCACTTACCTGAAGGTATGCAACCAATGTTTCTTTATCCTCTTACTAATATCAGTCCACGATGGCACATTTTGTGGGGCAAATTGCCTAGTGACAATCCCTAATTCACTAGTAAATTTTTCAGATGCTTCACCATATGGTCGTCCACTAACCTTACAAATCTGAATAGGCAATCGCACCCCTTGATTTTTTAGCTTGGCCAATTTGAGGCTTCGTGACTTCCCACGTCCTCTCTTACCCTTGGATGTGCCTACTAGAAACAATGAAAAAGTATCATGTTAATATATAGATTGAAAAGACGAGAACCACCAACCAAAACAAAACATAAACTTAAAATATTTACAAACCATCAGTGTTGCAATGTGTACTAGAAGTATCCGAGTGTGAAACTTGTGACGTAACTTCATGTACCGATTCTGATGTAAATGGGTGCAGTGTAGATGAGCGAACTGATTTAATGGATGCATGGGGTCCAGGTGTTGATTGAGTGGATGAGCGAACTGATTTAGTGGATGCATGGGGTGTAGGTGCATGGGGTCTAGGTACATACCCTGCTCGTCCTCTGCCTCTTGTGGACATACCTGTTGAGAAGTTGAGGGTATATACATCATATATTGCTACACTGCATATATACTTATGCATATATATTAATAAACAGTATATACCATTAGATTTAGTACAAGTAACCAGAAATTAAGCAGAATCATGCAGTGCATAAAGCTTGTCATCATCAGAATGCCAAGATATAACATGCAGAGTTTTTTACATAGGATTACATATATTTTACCAAAAAAATAAAATAAAATTAATTAATAGTAGTACAACTAAGCACTATTAATGTGGGTTTCTGGTGGTTGACAAAAATGAGGCAGGGTTGGCTACATTTCTAAATGAGATCTTAACACAGGCCTACATTTAGCAAAGGTACTACAGTAGTAAATCTTTGTGAACAATTTTTTTTTTTGTGAAAAAAAAAAGCAAGAATGGTCATGCCTCACGTATCAACACAACGAAAAGTATGGGTTTTTAGTGTTTGACAAAAATGAGGCTGGGATGGTTACATTTCCAAATAAAATCTTAATACAAGCTTACATTTTTATTTTTATTTTTGGATAAATAAAGGGAGAGGCAGGGGAATTAATACAAGCTTACATTTAACAAAGGTACCCACTAAATCTTTGTTAGGAGTTCACAATCAGGGGTTTTTTTTTTTTTTAAGCAAGAATAGGTCTCGCCTGACAGATCAAGACACTGGAAAATATGATGCAGAGTTTGGACCATCTAACCTCACAGCCAGAGCATGGAGTTCGAAAACATCAGCAAATTTCTTCTCAACGCATGTGGTTGTGTTAGCACGTGCAGAGGGACACAGACGGATTTTCTGAACTTCAATTTATTATGTGCCAAAGCAAGAGAGATGAATTGCAATTCTGGCAGACAACAAGAGGCTCCCCTCAATTTCAAGTCAGCCTATTAATTTTCTTGTGTAGTAGAAGCGGATTCCAAATCTTCAGCTGTCACTGGCTGATGCAGCTGCATTCATAAAAAGAGTAGTCAAAGTAAGCAGCAGATAAGAACCTAAGAATGTCATGTATGGCATAGATGTTAGGTGAAATCTCTTGATATGATCCACAAATTAATCATCATCGAAGAAACAGGGCATTATCTCATAGGGATATGAAGTAGGGTTTTTCATAGGTCCATCCTTTGTACCCACAATCAACTTTAGACATGCCCATATATAGTCGGATGGGTTTGTTGGGCAACCCAGAAATTGCCAAACACAAATTTAATCCAAATTCCAAAATCATGTTTGGTAAACAGATACAGAAAAAGGAACGAAGAAAAAATGCATTTTAAGAAGACATATGAGAAGATCAACTTAAATCTGCCAAAACATAAGCATTTGCAAAAAGTAACTGAAACAACTTTGTCCCATATAAACCTTCACTCCTTAGTCCCAGACTTGCAGTTAAGCATAATTGCAAGGAGACCTTTTCATAACTAATATTCAAAGATGCAAAATATCCTTAGTAAAATGGCACATTCAGTAAATAACATCAAGTAGATTTGTATAGATTTGTATTTTTGAAAAAAATAAATAAGATTCATATTGGCAATTCAAGAACTCTTCAACACATAGAAAAAGAACAACATTAATTTCACTCAACCTATATAACTGAAAGTATAAAAAAGGGGCATTTCCAACGAAATCAAACAATATATACAGAATTTCAAAAGCCTTAGAAAATTAAATAGCAGCAAATTTCATTGACTATCATCACTATCATAATCAATCATATCATCATTAACTTCATCATCTTCAAGATTCTCCTCATGGAATTCGCCATCAATATCAACACATATCATTTCCATGTCTTCTTTGCATAATTCTATGGGTTGATCATCCATGTGCACTGCATTTCCAAGACCAAATGATTCAAATTCTTGGTATGGTTCATCATTGTCCTTTTCTTCCTCTTCCTCTTTCTCTTCCTCTTCATCCCTTTTCACTAGAATGTCATATATTGCCCGAGGTATTATTCTTTGTACAACTCGATAATTGTTGCCAAATTTCATGTCTTTCATATAAAACACTTGTATAGCTTGGCATGCTAGCACAAACGGTTCATCCTTGTACCAAGTTCTTGTAACATTCACACTAACATATTTATAATCATCAAATTTCATTCCATTTTTTTCATTGCCAACATCCCACCAATCACACTTAAAGAGGAACACCCGATTTCTCCCTAGATATTTCAACTCGACTATATCTCTAACAACTCCATAAAAATAAATAGCTTCTCCTTTATGGTCACCCTTAACAACCACACCACTATTTTGAGTTTTTCGGTTCATGTCACGATCTTGAGTGTGAAATCTGGTCCCATTGATAATGCAACCACTGTATCGTGTCACTCGACTATCAGGACCTCGGCTAGGTTCATAAGTTGATTGGAAGCGTCCATGGTCCCTTCAAGTTCTTGCTTTGTGACCTAATTCCATTTATGATGTGAAATGTATTAGCATATACTTAGTTACATTATTTAAATGCACAAATAAGGTTAAAAATTTATAGCTCGTACGTATTTTAGAAACCATGTATGAAACTCTGATTCCAGCCTCTCTTGAACATTTCTCAAACCTTGTCTCTCAAGTTCATCCATGTATTGCCTATAAATTATTACACAACATTATTTGACACAAATAGTTGTGAAAGTAGTAGAATTCACAATGAAAATTTTTGCAGTGAATATAATCATATGGTGGTTTCTTACCTCACATACGGTTGAACTTCATCACAATTATTCAACACATACCATCGAGCTTTCTTCAAATCTTTTAAATTCAACACATCATTAACTGCAGCTCCTATTCCACGTACTTTCTGCTTAAATACAGAAATATTTCCATCTTGTGTAGCTTTAATAGGCCCATCATAATTCCGCTCTGGTCTATTAAATTTTGTCTCACCTTCGTTGAAGTATATAGAGCAAAATGTAAGAGCCTCATTATCAATGTAACCTTCAGCAATAGAGCCTTTTGGACGGGCTTTGTTACGCACATAGCCCTTAAGAATATGCATGTACCTCTCAAATGCATACATCCACCGGTATTGCACCGGTCCAGCAAGGATTGCTTCACGTGATAAGTGTACGCATAAATGGATCATAATATCGAAAAAAGATGGTGGAAATATCTTCTCAAGCTTGCACAAAATTAAAACAATATCTTTCTCAAGTTGTTCTAAGACATCAACTCTCAATGTTTTTGCCGATAACTCCTTAAAGAACAAGCAAAGCTCAATTAAAGCCTTGCTCACATCCTTTTTCAAACATCCACGTAGGCAACATGAAGCAATCTTTGCAAGATAACATGGCAATCATGGCTTTTCAACCCTGTAATTCGACAATCACTAGTGCTCACACAATGTGATATGTTTGATGCATAGCCATCTGACAATTTAACTGTACTCAAGAATTCACAAAAACTTCTTTTTTCAGTTGGAGAGAGCGTGAAGCAAGGAGCGGGTAGGAAAGTTTTTCCATCTACTTGCCTTAGGTGTAATTTAGGCCTTATACCCATAGCCACTAGATCAAGACGAGCCTTGTATGAGTCCTTGGTTTTTCCATCAACGTTCATCAATGTTCCCATCACACTATCGCATACATTCTTTTCAATGTGCATAACATCGAGGTTGTGGCGAACTTTGAGGGTTTTCCAATAAGGTAACTCAAAGAAGATGCTTCTCCTTGTCCAATTTAAATATTGAGGAGAACGTTTTCACTTCTTCCCACGTTCATCTATCTTCCCAAATACTGTCGAGTCAAGATGCTCCAATTGTCCCAAAACCTCCTCCCCAGACAACAACTTGGGTTCCAATTTACGCTCTGGCTCACCATTGAATGCCTTGCTTTTTCGTAAAACATGATTATGCGGCAAAAAACGACGATGTCTCGTGTAACAAGTTTTTTTCCAATGATGCAAGTATTGGTGAGATGCATCCTCATTACATGAAGGGCAAGCCAATTTCCCTTTGGTGCTCCAACCGGATAAGTTACCATATGCAGGGAAATCGTTGATGGTCCATAACAATGCGGCACGTAATTGAAAACTTTGGCCATTTGATGCATCGTATGTTTCTACCCCTACCTCCCATAACTCCTTTAACTCATCTATCAATGGCCGTAAAAACACATCAATGTCAAACCCGGGAACCCTACGCCGAGGAATAAGCAAAGGCATTATAAAAAATGGATCCTTCATACATTTCCATGGTGGTAAATTGTATGGGACAAGAAAAACCGGCCATATGATATATGAGTTACTCATGTTTCCAAACGGGTTAAACCATCGCGGTAGCTAGGCGAGGCCTAACGTTACAGACGTCGGATCTTTTGGCGAACGACTTATCTAGCTTTTGTCAAAGTCTTTCCATGCTTCAGAAATCAGCCGGATGACGCAACACATTTTCCTCTTTAACACGTTTATCCTTGTGCCACTTTCATATCAAAAGCCGTCTTCCTGGATATGAATAGGCTTTTGTGCCGTGGTTTTAAAGGAAAGTATCGCAGAACCTTGTGAGGGATCTTTTTACTTTACCTTTACTTTACCTGTACGAACCTTGATCTTGGCGCTTTACAAGTAGGACACTCATCTTCATTTTCATACTCCTTCCAAAAAAGTACGCAATCGTTCTGCATACAATGTATTTTTTATAGTCGAGGCCCAAATCTCGAATTATTTGTTTAGCCTCATTGTAAGAGCATGGAAGCGTTTAACCAATGGGAAGTGCCTCCTTCAACAATTCCAACAACATCGTGAGTGATTTGTTGCTCCATCTATTAATATCTTTAGATGTAGCAATTTAACCATGAATGATAGTTTGGAGAATCGTTGGCAATCCGGATACAATCTTGCTCCGCATCCCTCATTAATCTTGCAAATCTTATTTGTTTCTCCACCACAACTACTTGGTAAGTCAGGATTACGACTACTAGATGCTTTCCCACATAACCAAATGTGGTTGTTCCACTTCGTATGTCATGAATAACTTCTCGCACCTCGGTATTGGGACTATTTGACTTCTCTGTCACATTTGTCAAGATATTCGTCATTTTCATTTTGTGAAGTCATCATTATCATTCAACTCAAAACCTTCCCATGATACACCACCTAGTGTAACTCGTGACCACCCCATATGCATACAAATGAATTTCAACTTCCTCTATGGTTTTTTGAATATGGTGTTGCATCTATAACATGGACACCAAATCTTATCTGTCTCTGGTTTCATATGATCACGAGCAAACAAGATAAATTCCCTCACCCCATCAATGTACTGAGGTGATCTTATATTATGAAGTTGCATCCAACTCCTATCCATGGTGCAAAAGAACTAAAGAAGAAAGAGGAAAAAAAAAAGAAAAAGAAGAAGGTAAAAGCTTAAAAAATAGGAAACATAATGCTACAATTTTCGACTCTAATAACACAAGCGAATCAAAATAAATTTAACAATGCAATCAATCGAATTGGCATCTACATTTCCAAATAACACAAATATAATAAAATCAAACAAATCAGGATTAGATCAGACCATATCATCAAAGCAAAAGAAACATCAAATTAAAGAGGCCTGCAAAAAGTCATTAACACTTTTGCAACCAAATAGCTTCGTTTTAAAAATAAAATAATATGATAAAGTATTTCTTTTTTTAAAGTCCTTTATTTTGTCCTTAAAAATATAGGTTTTATAGACAAAAAATTTTTGTTCCTAAAATTTTGTCTTTAAAACCATGGTTTCATAGATTAGGTGCTTCAAAGATTAGAAGAGACCAAATGAGAAACTTGTTAACCCTGAAAATCAACTGATTTAATGGCTAAAATCTTGAAACTAAGGTAAAAGAAAAGCATAAGACAGTACCCAAAAATAAACTTAGGGTTTCAGTTGAGTGCAATAATAAGTAATAACCAAGCCAAGGCAAGTGGGTTGCCTCAGACCAGAAATAGATTTTGTCTTGTTATCAAATATATTCATATCACTCAATATGCATAAAACATATTTTGTCTTGTGCTCTCTAACAGCTGCCTTTCACCTTAAAATTGAGCTTACGCATGTGATACATTAAACTGCGTAACTTTATATGCCACATTCTGTTTTCATTCCACTTATTTCTGTTGACACTTCAAGTACATTTGAGCTCTGGACCTAATTCAGATACATCATTCAATTTAAGTAATGGATTTGTCTAATTGAGGCCTACAAAATTTCGGATTTTGTTACCTTAGACAGCAGGAAATATTGAGTTCTTTGCAATGCTTTGCCAATGAATTGACACTTCTGTGTAGGACTCTATGGTTGTACATCTATGTGAAACTTATATGATTTCTAAAAAGTTTGAAGTAACTCATTGTAAAGTTATAAACTTACATTATCGCGTGTCCTTGCTGTAATCTGATTCTATCTTTTTCAATAGAAAATTGCTAAACATTGAAGTATATTTTTACTTATTTATTTGTCACTCCAAAACTATCATTGTCAAGTTATTGGCGAGTATATAACCCAAGACAAATGCACTGTTATATATCTTTGTTTATTGTTCTTTTCAGCTATTAATGTATATTCTTGGCACTTGATTTGCAGAGATTATGACGTTTCAAAGCAAATTCGAGCAGGATAAAAAAAACAATTATAAAAAATTGACTTCAAATTTTACATCCATATGTCACGCATTGAAATAGAGAGATCTCCATTCACTTTAATTCCAACAAACCATGTAATGGAGAGAATCTAAATTTGCAAATAGAAACCCCAAGATACTTTCCACTCAAATCTCAGAATGTTAAAAGCATCCAAGAGGCTGCTGTTACATCAAATCGATTATACAGATACATACATGATAATCGATTATCATATTCATTTTCATTTTCTAACTCCCATTCATAAGTCGATTATAATATATATGATAGGCGATTCATAAATATGATAGTCGATTATCAAATAAGTTGATAATATATGGTACCTGATCGGAATCGCTACCGGAGATATGCCGGGAAATCGGAGAATCAAGGAGAGATGAGGCGGCAACGGAGCGATCCAGCCCTGGACAGAGATGCTTTGAGACAATGATGAACCACAGATCAGAAGCAATCAACGAGATCGTTGAGAAGAACCAGTGAATTCATATATCGAATCCGTAGAAAAGAGATGCATGAAAAGCAATTAGGGATTTGATAGAGAGAGAAAGAGGGAGAGAGAAAGAGAGAGAGAGAGTGATGAAACCTTTTTTTTCATTTTGTTCCCGACTATATGAGTTCAAAAATTGATATATAAAATACAATAATATGTTATTTGGGTTTATTAGGGACCAATTAAAATTGTAGGAATATGATTTGGATTTATTAGAGACCAACTAAAATTGTAGAGAAAAGTGATTGATCCTTTTTCAACTAAACAAATTTGTCTAGAAAATGTAAAAATATGATTAAATATATTTTTTAAAAAATTCTTTCATTTTGTCCTTAAAAGTATAATTTTTACAAACAAATTATTTTTGTCTCTAAAAATTTGTCTTTAAAACCTTAATTTCTTGTAGTGACAATACGTTATCAAAAACTCAAGTAAAATTACTTGTAGTTAAAAGGAATTGTGTCGATACGAAACCATCCAATTTTTTTATTATTATTATTTTTTTTAATTAAAAAAATTCCATGGTACAGTCCTTTGTTGTGTTGAACTGACTGGTAGTTTTTGCTTTAATTTTAAGTAGAATCCTTGAAGCTTCTGGAGCATTATTATATGTAGTTTGATTAGTTTTTAAGAAAATATATATAAAAGGGTGTAGTGTGGGTTGGTTGATATCTCTGTGATCATCAAGAGTGTGCTGTGGATTGGTGGCGGAGTCTGCTATGATGCTGCTGGTCCTATCTGTGGATTGGGGGAATTGGTGTTAGTCAATATTGCTCCATGGGTTTAGGCTAATATGTAAGGTGTTACATTCTCTTAGTGCATGATGTTGGTGCAAATTTGAAGCAGGTTTGTAGTGGTGTGTAAGCTGCAGGAAGAGTGTGCTGGTGAGGGCAGAGATGTAGCTGTGTGGAATCAAGGGAGATGTATCAAATGGTGTGTAAAGCAGGTGATTGGCTCTGGTCATGGATTGAAATGTTGGGTGAACTCTGGGTTTTCTGTTGTGAAGTTTTGTGGCTGCTTAGTCTTGGAGACTACTTACAGGGTGTGTGTGTGATGGTTGATCTATCTGCTAGTCGGCTGCTTTGCTGACTGATCCGTGGCTGCTAGTCTTGGGTAGAAGTAGGTTGCTTATGGTTTGCTCAGCATTGTCTTGGTGATTGGTGGCTAATTAGATTGTGTGACGGTTGAACAAATCTGATTTGTTGGTCTTGGAGAAAGTAATGCCACACCTAAAATAGTAAGGATAAAAAAAATTCAATGAAACTTGCTTGTGCATTAAACTGAAACAATGGAAATAGCAAAATCAAGTTCCTATTCTTATATCACAAAGAACATTCCCATAAAATTCTCTCCACAGGCACAGTTCAAGCCACCTATTAAAAGAATGATACCTGCATGATGAATTTTAGATAGTTATTAATAGCATAGAGAAGTGCAGGAATAGCAAGAAGCGCATTGTTGCGAG